ACAGATCTTGTCTCCATTGTTAAACAAAAGCTTTTTGCCTTTTGCTGTTTTAATCTAGTTCGTATTAAGGGTTTGAAACATTCAAAACAAACCCTAAAAAGTCATTAACGATAAGTGCGTTGAGTTTGTTTCCACTAATTTCGCATTTTCTGTTTTAAAAACTAGATTCAGAGATTCACCAAAAATCATTACAAAATGTTTTATTTATACATAAAACAGAATCCATCAAAAGAGCTAACATGTTTTCTTCTCTTGATCATCTCAAAGTTTAAAGCTTTTAAAAACTACAAATGACGATGGTGTTGGCACTCGAGAGGAGTAACAGGAAACCTAGTGGAATCAAAACAATAATCATAAATCATATGATTAGCTCGAACCCAAATAAGCTGATGATTCTGATGAAGGCTTAATTCAGACACAGTTGGTTCATCCCACCAGAAGCTTTGATCTCCATTACACTTGCTTAGATCACTTGTTGTCGGAACTTCACAAGCATCAATCGCAAAACCTTTGTAAGAAGCAACAAAAGGAGCATGACTCCAATCTGTTTTAACAAGACCTCCTTGAGTAGCCCAATCATCTGCATTCCAAATCGAACTGTATACTCCCATTGCTTGATCTTTAGCAAATGGAATACCTTTATCTTCAAGATTCTTTTGAAATCGAATCACAGTTTCGTCTACCATGAATCTGCATTTTTTCCGATAAACAAAATCATTACAATATGTTCATTCATAGTCTTCAAAAAGTGAGAGACTTTTTTGGTTTAAAGAGAGCTTACACAACACTGCGTTTACTCCAGAGGATTGAGTAAGTGTGGAACCCAGTGGTGGGATCGAACCAAAGATTGAGTCTTTGTTCTCTGTTTCCAACTCCATTCACATAGATGTTTGTCTGAACAATGTAAGGTTCACCGGTTTTGTTACCTAAGAACTCGAAATCGAATTCGTTATGGTTCGAACCTTCGGAAGACATCTATAAGAGAAGAAAAAACAGAGCAATAATCAATAATCAAATCTGTGTCTAAAAACAGAGCAAGAAGAAGGTTTTGGTTATGTCTACATACGTAGAAAGCAGTGACGGTTCCTGCAGAGTCACCTTCGACGAGCTTAATCTGGATAGAGACTTTACCAAACAAATACTTGCTTCTCGATTCAAATCCTGCTCCTGATAATAATCAATCAAACATCAGTATTTAGAGAAAAAGCTTTTAAGAAACAAAAAAAAATAAAAAACAGAGGATAAAACAGAGTAAACGAACCAGAGGATTTGTCAAGCTTGAGTTTTGTGACTTCTCCGTCGTTAAGACAATGATCCATAGCCCAGCTTGAGCGGTAAAGCTCCTCAAACTTAGCTTCTTGAACAGCTTCACCACAAGAGATAACAAGACACACAATCATAGCCATACACATGAACCAACCCATACCCACCATTTTTGTTTCTCTTTCTCTCTCTTAATCAAACTTCACTCTACAGTCTCACACACTTACTTGATGACTCAGTGGAGGAGACAAGTGAGAGAGGAGGGGGTGGGTTTATAAAGGCGAGGAGTATGAGCTGGCATACAATGGGAGAGAGATGCCACGTTGGATTCGACGTGTAATTCAGGACATGGTATAAGTGGACAAAAGAAGCCATCTTCGTAAAGATGAAAAAAAATTTACACTCAAAACAAGAGAAATAAAAGAAGAGAGAGAGTTGGGAAATGTAGCCGTTACTGTGAGGGCATCGCTCAGTGGTGCTCCACTTGGTACTACACAGAGGACAAGAATTTATGCTTCTCTGTCTTAAAAAAAAAAAAACTTAATCTTTGAGTAGAGAAAAAGACTTTATTGGTTTTAGAAAGAGAAAGTGAATATAAATTGATTCTGATGAATGTAATAATAGTGAAGAAGAAAGGACCATTTTACAGCTAAGATGTTTTCATTGCATTGGATTGGATTGGATCCAGCTGTAACATTTGGCTCTTTTGGGGTCAGAAGCTCAAATTTTAAAATATCTTTCTGCAAAGAAAATAAAGTAAATTGATTGGTTCACACACAG